CTGAAAATGCAACATTAATATATACTGATAATGAAACATTCTTAACTGGGGCATGTATATCTAAATAAACTTACCTTGCAAGTGTAATTCATGAACTAAACGAATCTACACAACTAGGGTTCTGAGTTTCATGCAAGAACTAAGCCCAATTCCACAAAACATGATAATCTGATTAGGAATATTCTAACAGCTAAATCACGACCATAATCTGAAATTCTAAAAACCCTAGGTCTAAACATGATATAGAGAATCAAGAATCTGACTGAATTCTAGGGACCTAATTGGTAAAAGGAACTCACAAGTGACATGCCACATACCTAGTGATGAATTTCATGGAGAAATATTTCTATTTCGGGGCTGGAACTGGAGGAAACCTTGCTGCGTTCTTGGAGAGGGTTGGTCGACTCTTTCTCTCTTTTCTCGTTCAACTTGGATGAATTTTGGAGAATGAGTTGACTAGGGTAAGTTCTAATTTAGTAACTAGGCTAAAACTGACTAAAACGACGTAGTTTAGGGGTTAAACGACGTAGTTTAGATGTCCAATGCATAGGGAAAAGACAAAATGACCCCCGACTTATAAGCCATCGAGGACAATCGACAGACCTGGTCCACGGACCGTGGTCCCTCCTACGGTCTTTCCTGGTCAGTCATAGACTGGCTTCAGAGGCTGGGATCTGAGGGTTCTGAACCACGAACCGTGGTACTACCTATAGTCCGTAGGTCCTAGAGTGGTTCGGGACTTAGCTGAATTTTCCTGGGGTTCTGGGGAGTCTGAACCACAGATCGTGGTCCCACCTACAGTTCGTAAGTCCTAGCGTGGGTTAAGACTTGGTTGAAAAAATTCTGGGGTTCTGGGAAGGGAGTTGAGGTGGTCAAACACGGACCCCACCTATGGTCTGTGGGTCACCCTACAGTCCGTTGGTGGCACCTGCAACTTTTGGAATCTGTATTTCTGGTCTATCTAGAATACAGGGTGTTACATGAGCAATACCTTTTAGTTAATAAGTGGCCAATTCCATTTTCTCAACCGTAGACAATCTTATAATCCCTACTATCTTGTAAATCTCATCAATGAACTCTTGAGGATCTTCATCAACCTTAGACCCATGAAATTCCGGAGGAAAAATCCTAGTGAAGTTATTTATCCTTGTCGCCACCGTACCCACATTTTGGTTCACGGTAGCATTAGCCTCTCTATTGGCTTAGGCCGTCAGGGCTTGAGCCAACACTTGGAAAACGGCTCGAAATTCGACACGATTCACTTGTTCGGCCAAAGGATCAACAGGAACTTAAGGAACCTCGGACTCTACATTGTCGTTACCCGAATTCCTTCTCACATAAGCTCTTCGAGGGGCCATAGTACCCTATAAAGGATCGAACACGATTTAGGAGAAGGATCTTATAGGGATAAACTCTATGGTACGACTTTAGACTAATGAAAGAAGTGAAGTTTCCTAAATTCTTTGTAGCCTCTTATTCATAAATGTGGCGCGCTTGACACTCATGAACAAGACTCTACTTAACATGGCTTGACAAACATCCTAGAACCTCTTTCTAAAACCTTGTGCTCTGAATACCAAGTTTGTCACGATGCAAAGTATATCCTAGACTTAACATGGTGTATAAGACCCCAAGAGGCCAAACATAAGCCACTTGACATAGATTCAACACAAAATAATAGACAAAAGTAAAGAGTCTCATATTAAGAAAATAGTTTGACATTTCAAAGCAGAAGTCTAACATAGTCTTGACAAGCCATCAATTACACCAAAAGGAGTAGTCGGGGCGTGACCCATACACCACATATGATATTTGAAACTTAAAGACATAAGAAAAGCAATAATAATGACATGGTCCTCGGAGTATGAGGACTCACCAAGTCTTCCAATCTTTAGGTGCTCACTAGCCACGAACAGAGTGAGAGGAATCGTCAAGCCCTACATTAGTGAAACAATGTAGGCACAAGTATGCATTAGTACATGAAATGTACTAAGTATGAGATAAATGAAATAAGACATGGGACATGATCATAAGGGGACATAATTGAAAATATGGTATGCATGACCAAGCTAAACCTAGTCAAATCTTTTAAGGAGAATAGCAAATCATGAACATGGTCAATGCATCTTAAAACATAAAGAAAGCTTCATAAAGCCTTTGAAAGTAAATTAGTTCATTTTGTGGGATATTAGATTTAACCGACAATAGACCATGCGAGCTATACATGCAATCTGATATAACTCCCACATCAAGAAGGGAGAATCTAGTTGCCAAGGTAGAACTATGTATCATATCATGTGCTATATATGGATCCACTAGCTAGGCAATTTAAGGCAAACCTACAGGGGCACGTAGTTTGGAGTTAGAGGTTGCTACTAGAGACTACCCTATTTGATCCTCCACCTCAAGGTTCTCTCGGTACTAAATTGAATCCCGACAGAATAGATATATTCATAAAGTTATCATCATACATGGAAAAGTACAATTCAAATACTAATACAAGCTTAACCATCATAGATTAGCTCCTTAAATCTTGAATCAAGTATAAGTGAGAAAAACCTTTCACCAAGTCATGATCCCTTAATATGTGAGAAAATCTTTCACAATTTTATTAATGCTCATCTTAAAGCAACCTAGATTGTAAAATGACCCCCTTTCATAAATCATGCATTAGTTCATGAAAACACCATTCCTTGATTCATAGCCTTCCTTCAAATTCATGCAAATTAGGGTTCATTGTCAAAGATCATGTATCATGCATGGGTTCATGTGATTTCAATTGGAAAACATGTAATTGAGTTAAAACAGTCATAAAAAGATCAAATTCAAACAATTGAATCAATATGAATAGAACTCGTGAAGAATTGAATAGAAATTAACCGATTAAGAGAAATTGAATTGGAGAAGTCTTTGGGACTCAATGGGTGAAGGAAACTCGTTGATGAACTCCTTACATACTTTAATCTCAAATCCCACAAGCAATTGATGAAGAAACCTTGAAGACTTAGAGAACCCAGGAAATTCCTTAAGAGCTTTCGATAAAAAACCTTTGAGAGGAAATTTGGAGATTTTGGGGGAATGATGGAGAATAGGTAGATTTAGGGGTAAAAATATATTATAGGGGCTTATCTAAAGGCAAAATGACGTAGTATAGGAATTAGGTGCATAGGAAAAGACCTAAATACCCTTAAAAATAATTGTCGGCAAACCCTATGGTCCGTAGAACTGGTCAACCGTACACCAAGTACTGGAGCCTAAAATTTCATCCAACTTTGACGAGACCTTTCTACGGTCCGTAGAACTCAACTTAAGCCCCAAAATTTTACGAAGCTTGGAGCCTTCCTATGGGACCTTCCTGCGGTCCGTAGTCCATCCGACAGACCGTCCTGGTCAATCATAGAATAGGTTACTAGGCTTTGATTTACAAAATATTTCCCCACTTCCTACGAGACTAGTCTACAACCCGTAGAACTTGCTACAAACTATAGACTAGTTTTGTTGAATTGTACCAGTATCCCTTTTTGGCCTTTTTTCCCTTTTCTAAATTTTGAGGTGTTACAGCACTACAATACCATTTTTAACCCGCCAAGGCTACCATTTTCAATCCATGCTTTTTTCAACACACATGCAATTTTTAACCTTAAAATGGGCAAGCAACAGTCTCTCTTTGAATGTCCAAAAAGGTTTTACCGATAAAAAAAGATCAAATCTAGTCAATGAAAATGAAATTATATTTTATAGCCTATGTCATGCGTTGTTGTGATGGAAGAAAAGTATTTACCACAATACTTTGCAAATCCTACAATTGTCCAAATAAAATCACTTCAAAAGAACTTCTACACAAGACAATGACATGGAATATGTTTTCGAAGCACAAAATCAAAAGAAAAAGAAAAAAGACGAAAATAAATTTTGCATGTTCAAAAACAATAAAAAGAATTTAGCATCAACTCCAAAGCAAAAAATTGAAGAGAAGCATTTTTTTAAAATTGCAGTACTAAAGCAAAGGATGAGTGTTGAAATTTGTTTTTAGTTACTATAGTGATTCTTAGCAAAATAAGTTGAACTTTAAATTTTAGTTAGGTTGTTTGAATAGTTGAGATATTTTAGGTTGTTTTAAATTTCAAATTATGCAGATTATTCTTTCATTTTGGCTATTAAAAGTCCTGCAATGCTTAATGAAATTATTGAAAGTTATTAAAAGATATTTCAATCCAAAGTTCAATTAATTCTTTTTGCTCCCCCAATTTTAAAAAACACCAATATGACAATTCCACTCGAGCCCAAAATGCTATGCCCAATCGAAATGCTCCACATAGGAATATTGCTATGAATGTCAACTAATATTCCTCTATAATTTGCAAAATATCGTGCAGATAAATTTGGTGTATTTGTCCTTTCGTACCTTTATTTCATGTCCCGGACACGAGTTCTTAAAATTATACTTCCCTTAATTTAGGCCATTAGTTTCCTCGTTTTCCTCTAAAAGTTACCGTCCGACTATGCTAGCGATCAGACCAGATCGACCTAATTAGTCAACCACCGATCCGAACACTTGACCGGTGAACCTTTCATGAGAACATCTTCTTTGATCCTTAAGGCAACATCATATCCAAACTTTATCCTAATGCCATGTTTCCACCCTACATGCAACCACCTTTATAGGTTATTTTTCCCCAATACAACCCTTAGGGAGGGAAGAGCCAACACCAAATCTTCTCGTTGATGGGAACTCGGAGGAAAAATCAATGGTAGACCGTTGAGATATAGGTAGCTAGAAATTTTTGGGCGGAATCTTGTGAAGTGATGATGAAATGGAGTAAATGCACTGCCCAAGTTCGAAACATGGTAAAAAATACCAATGATTCGAAACATATTTGTCTATAGAGTTACTTGTTCCAATTCTTAGTCATATTTTATCTCACTAAATCACATTAAATGATTTACACTTGAGAAAGAATCCAGGTTTTGTCAAACATGTAAAGACGGGTTCAGATGAGTTATTGTCATTTGCCACCCCATAGAAACCCATACAACATTTACTACACAAAAAACTCTTACCAGTCAAACTTCACTAGCCATGAGTAGTGATCAAGGATAATATAATCTTTAGAACCCATAATGAGTTATTGTCATTTGCCACCCTATAGAATTAGGATGTGTATCGAAAAAATATCTTGAGATGTTAGTTTAGAAGCTCAAACTGTTTAATCTAATACGTTAGGCTTTGAACTGTGTATGTGGAGAAGTACCAATGCTTTTACTTAGACGCTGGACATGTTTCTTGGACATGACGAATTCCTGGCTTTTGCTTATTCCTGGAACCAACATTCCCCTCTGCATTACCTTCTCCAATAAGTTTCTATCTTCCTCAGAGAACTGCACCTTGGATGTTTTTGGTGGGAAAGCGTTATTGGATCTTCTCAGGCTGATCATGTGATGAAGCCATGTCACTAGTTCAATGATAAGTTCGTCCATCTTCTCTTTGTCTGCATGATACAGAGTTTGCAACCGAATGATCTTCTTGTGTCCCCGACTCATCTTGCCTAAATCATTTCTGATAAAAACAAACATGGAGAATAGTAAATGTCAAGTATATGATTTGATCGGGAGTGGGGTGGGGTGTTGTAACACTAAAATATGCAGTAACTGACCCAGTATTAGCCCACCCGAAACCTTGAAGTACTCTGTTAGATGCAAAACAATTAGTATGAATAAATACATTGGACCAACTTTTAGGTTTTTATAACAAAAAACAAAATGTGTTGATTTCAACATCACCACCAACAGGTACCTACCTTTTAGTATTTGTAGCTATTGGAACAAGCCACTGAAGTGTTATTCCCAAATCTGCTTTGATCTGAGAAAGTGTGAGCTGCAACAACAATGACAAACAACTATTTTACATACATATAACACCACTTTATGTAGAAAAATAATATGTAGAGGACTAACCTCTTCCTTAGTGACTGCCTGCAACCGAGAACGAAGGGATGTCTTCACGTTGGGGGGTAATCCATTATATAGTGCATCCCTCATGTTATCAGAAGGAGAAGTGGGGTATAAGGCCTGGCATGATATCAAATCCCATAATAACTATTTGCACTAGTACGTTATAGGAGATTAATTGAGCAGAAAATACTTACAATGGCATCTATTCGAGTAATTAAGTTAGCATAGTGTAAAGCAAGACCAGCTTCTCCCAGTGTTTCTGATTTTCTTCTAGGTGAGGATGTCAACCCTACTAAAAACATACACATAATATTTCATAACAGCATTTGTACTACAGGAAAGTAACCTGAAACATTGACCATTAAAGAAAAGGTAAAGCTTCATAAATATAATATCACTGGGTATGTCAATCGGTTTTCAAGTTTGTAGATAACCATTTGCATATCTTTTCCTGTTCCTCTTCTTTTTCTTTTTCTTTTTTTCTCTTTTTTTCCAATTCATCTTACTTCAGCCTCTATTCTATAGAAATTGATGTATTTGGTTTCATGTAGAACAAATATATAGACCACAATTTAGGAAAATACATAAATGATGTGACGGAATCTTGGTTTGATCATCTATAATTTTTAGCAAGAAAGGATGTTCAAAAGATATTTTTTTGACAAGTGAAGAGACGTAACACGACAGAGCTAAAAGATTATTCACAGGACTTTTTTATCCTAAAACATAGCATTATTTGTAAAGAAGATTTAAATGCAAAGTCTTATACAGGAAAAAGGAAGACAATCCTTAGTTTGGGACACTTGAGCAATACCAATGCAAACAGCTAGACTTAAAATTCTTGGAGTTGTTTGTGACAGATTATTATGAAGTGCTATTGAATTTAAAAGAAACAATTCAAGAGAGGCCAAGGTATTTGTATTAGTTGGTTCCAATCCTTTCATGCTCGCCAAAAACTAAAACAAGTTCCTTAGGCACTTTTCATGTGCACAGGGACATATTAAGCCAATCAAATTTAGTGTTAAAAATATTGTATGTTTAAATTAACTCGTTTCCTTATCATATTAAGCTAATTAAACTGGTTTAGGTTTGTTCTTTACACAATTCAATTAAATAAAATCCAAATGCTTGCAAAACTCTCCTCATAATTATAGTATTTATTTTTGACAATATACCAAATCACTTTATATAGATAAGAATAATCTTATTCCTTATACGTAGCCAACTAATCTAATTGTGATCATATTTTTCTTGTGGTATATATGTTCCTCAAGTCAATATATGTTTAATTCTATATGACTAATCATAGCTTAGGGGTTTAGAGCCTCAATTCTATATTATCAGATGGATTTGACAACAAAGATATAAGTACTAGTATGCCTACGACCACACCAACTTGTGAAATGTTTACAAAACTTCTGGATATTCTCGTACCGTCATATCCATATGCCTCTGAAATCTCTTGATGAATAAAAGTAGCAATGTCAACAAGCTTCTCTACAACCTACAAGGATGAAGATAAAAAATAAAAGGATGAAGAATGTTAAGTCCATAAACATTTAAAAAGTAGAAGACAAATTTTCATTTCAACTACTATTATTGAAGCAATTTTCCCTTCTACAGTGATCCTTATAATTTTCATTTTATTTCTCAATGGAAGTCAAAATGTTTGGTCAAAGTACCTCCTTCAGACTCTTGAACCAAAGACTCTTCTTTTTCAAGTTCCTCACAGTTTTTCTTTGATGTTTTAGCTCGCTTTCTAACATCATGACATGTTCTCCTACAAGTGAAGGAAAGCATTCAATTTGTCAGTTTAACATGGTATTAATCAATTTAACAAACATAAACAAAATGCCTCTTGTCCTCCAATTGACCTAAGTTCTTGGTTAAACGAGTATCAGTAGAGTGTGGAAAAAGATGAGTATACTGATGTCAAATTGTAGGAATACACATTATATCCAACTCAGTTCAACATAATATCACTGAAACATGTTAAGTGACTTCCCATATCTAGATATACTGTTTACAATCTCATGCTTTTTTGCTAGCATCATACATAACATGCTATTTTTTGAAATTGTATCGGATTGTCTCATTGCAGTAAAAAAAAATTAAAAAGTTTTAGAACCCAAAGGACAAATCTTCTGAATAGGAGAATGCTACCAGAAAACAACATGCCTCCAGAATAATCAATAACTTTGCTTGAAATGTAATCTTACTTGACTCATTATTTAAGGCGTAACCTTACCTGGAAACTTCTATTTAGATGCAATAGAAGCGTAATTCGTACCAAACTGATGAAATCAAGTTGTACACTGAATAAATATTGCTACTTTCTATTGCAAATTTTCCTTGTAAAAGTTAATCTTCAAAAGAAACTACGAATTAGATTTTAAGGCAACATGAGATCCAATTATTTTCTTCCACCAAATTTCATTCAACCCCCTCTCCTCCAGAGGCATAGCTAAGGAGTAAGACAGTATCACAGAAAATTGAAGTAAAATTGTACCTTCGAGAGACAGTTTTAAAAAAATTAATGCCTCAATTTTTCTTTGATAATCCTTTTCAAATTTATCTAGCGCGTGAAGCTCATGATACAGTTCCTGAAAAAGAAATGAGGAGTCACACCGTCATCTTTGCATATAGAAGAGACACTAATGATGTGAACCATATCAATCCTTGTAGAGAAAATGACATTTAACACTAATAAATATCAATGAATTTCCTCTGGGTGATTTACTTTATACCACTCCAGCATACTTGTCTACAGATTTTATAATTCCATCGATCAAAAAATACCATATATGACAAGTAAATTAATAACAACCATAAGTGCCTTCTAACCTACCCCATTAATCCAAAAGAGAAGGTATGAGCCTATGTATTTGCATGACCCCAGCACATTTAACCCTATCAATTCCCATACCAATAACCCACTCCGCTTGTTCAGTACTACAAACTATTATAGAAGGTTCAATGTCATTTAAGGAAGGTCCACATGAAAGAGAATTGCTTTTGTTGAAGAAATAACAATAAAATAAGCTCAAACTAAAGTTGGCAGATTTTATAACTAGTTCTCATGCAACAGGCCAGGCTAGTTGCAATATCAAAACGCAAGACCACACTCCACTATCAACTAACCTTCTACCCTAATACACGTACTTCACATCCTCTTATCTAAGGTCATGTACTCGGTAATTTGAAGGAGCACCATGTCCATGTCTAATCATTTCTCCCCAACATTTATCTAGCCTAACTCTACCTCTCCTCGTACCTACTATATCTAACATCTCGCACATCCTCACTAGGGCATCCACGCATATGAAGAAGACTATTGATTGAAAGAAAGAGCTCTTGATAATCATCATATCATACTATACTAAAAGTATCATACTATACTAAAAGTGGGACCATCTTAAGTTGAAATTTGGATTTAAAAAATACCCTTCAGATATTGAATGACCAATTTATCCTCTCCTAACAATAAAATTACCCCCATCAAATTATTAAGTAATTACTTGTATTCCATCAATTTGTGGGTTTTCTTATCTTAATTAAGCAGCCTTAATTGTTTGTTGTTTTGTATTCCATGATGATTACTTTTCATTCCATTAGTTTACAAGACCATTCATCTACCAAATCAATCCTTACTAATGGGGAACGAATTAAGGGAGAAGGTTAGGGATGATGGATGTCAATTGTTATTGCTCTCAACATCCAATGGTGTTCTTACTTAGCATCACACTAAATTCATCTTGATAATTCCAAATTACATTGGACAAGTTATCACTCACCGCTACAAATTAGGAACTTACCTTTCATCAAATTCCAAGTTGAGATGAAAAGGAGGAAGAAAGTTAAAAAAAAAAAGTTGAGCAAAGATGGAAAACATAAGAACAACTTCATTACACACAGGAGTATAAGACTTCTATAGTTCACTCTTTTCTTCGAGGTTCAAGCTATAACAAATAATAGAAGTTGTGCAATAGATATTTCATGCAAGAAGCTTTTTAATTGGATGTCTCGGTCTCCTTCCAGAATAGGAAATCTTGAATGAAAAACTCAAAATTTTCTGTTGTCTAATTGGTTTTTGATTACATGTGGACAATATAGTTAAACATTTCAGTCAAATAAGTTTTCTACTGTATGTTTTTTTCCTAAGTAATCATAATGTAATGATCAGCCTGCAACTTTCATTTACTCTTTCTTTACATTCAAAAGTTTTAGCACTATATTTTTTTATTTATGAATTGATTTTATCTGAGAAGATTGTTAATCATTGGCACATTAGTAGCCCTGATGTTTAAGTTGTCACAATTGGTCATTAGAGATCAAAAACAATGTCCAAGTTGATCTTATATTAAAGGTTTTCAACGATAAAGTCATACTATAACGAATATGTTGTATAATAGATATGAGGTACACGCGGAAAGCACGTGCGCAGACACTAGTACGTTAAAGCACAAAAACATGTAGAAAGGTAAAGGCATCTCAAAACAAGACAAAGCATTACAGAAGTATGTTGTGCCAGAGTTATCAGCTCCTGCATTGTCATTTCCGCCTCTGCTCTTAGCTGTTTGTGAGTAACAGTGTCCCTGTCCAACCTGGAAAATGATTACATGTTCTCATAAACATATTTATTGACATAAAATTGCAACAGTTTTAATAAAACAATTCAACTTACTTGGAAAAATAGCGACCTAGATTGTGCCATTGTGGGTCTTTACACATATCTCCAAATCTGATGACTTCACGACAGAAAACAGCAAAATCCTCCCTTTTGTCATGAGCAACTATAGTGAGCAGATCCTTCATATTAGTAGAAACCAACAACTGTTGCACACCTTTTGAAGGAAGAAGTTCCTTGTTTAAATACTCGACATTTTCTTCAGAAAGAGATTGCAATAAATTTGCAGCTTTGGTGATGGTGTTTGCAATTTCAAATGCTAGAATAGATATTTTGTCTTGTCGAGATGCTATTCCAATCATGAAGCCTCGAGAATTCAAATTTCTCATGCTGTTGCCAAGTGTATCTAAAACTTCTACTGCCTTTTCTAGGCCAACTGTACTGGCTTTTCCAAGAAAACAGGTGGGGGCCTATAATAGAAAAATTATGTCTTGTTATCGTGTGCGAGAGAATCCATATGAATCAAAAGACAAAACCAATAACATGATGATGGTTGTTCAAATATCACACTAGCCATCAACAGAGAAAGAAAAAATAGGTGCCAAACCCACCCATGTGGATATTTTCCAAAGTCATTGTTATATTGAACTAGACTCTGGGATACACCCACATGGTTCTTCAATACTTCAACTTCCATTTGTCAAATGAGCTTATCAGATGCTTAACCATCGATGTTGTTACTTATGTTTATGACATACAGCTTAATCCTAATGATTTCCAATCAATCTTGTCCCACTAGTGCTCAAGTGAACCTTAAGTTCAATACCAGCAAATATTTTTTTTTTGAAATTGGTAACTTTGTGTATTTCTATCAATAATTAAGATCATACAGTACATTGGTTATACTTGCACCCTATTTGCATCAAAAGACTCTTAAGAAACTGGAGCTATTCTAGTCTTCTATAGGGAGCTTAATACATCTAGAATTTCCACAGTTTCTACCGAGTGACACTGTCTACACCAAAAACTAAAGAGCAAAATAATTCATCTTCATTTGTTGGATAGAGTTGCTCCTATTTTCAAAACATCTAGAATTCCTCTCTTTCCATATTGTCCACCATATACAAGCTGGAACCATTCTCCATCTTCCTCTATCTCTGACTTCCAAACCTGCTTCTTCCCAACATGCTAGAGTTTCAGAAATCTTTCCAGGCATTATCCATGTGATACTTCTGAGTGCCAGGAACATCCTCCATACTTGACCAGTTATTTTGCAGTGGAGGACAAGGTGATTCGCTGTTTCTGTAGTTTCCCCACATAGGCAGCATCTGGGACAGATGGTAATCCCTCTTTTCATCAAGTTATCTTGAATAAGAACTGCTTCGCCTCACATAGGCAGCATCTGGGACAAATAGTAATCCCTCTTTTCATCAAGGTATCTTGAGTAAGAACTGCTTCTCTTGCCAAAAGCCAGACAAAACATGAAACCTTATATGGTATCTTAGCCTTCCAAATGTGCTTCCAAGGCCATTCTACCATTTGATGATTGGTTTGGTTCATATGTTTGTAAGTTGCATTCACTTTGTAAGCACCACTGTTGTGTCCATTCCACCATAATCTGTCAGCCCCTTCTTTTAAACCTCCAAAAGTTCCCAGCAGATTGAAGAAAGCAATCACCCTACTCACCTCCCAGTCATTAGGCATTCTTCTGAAGGTAATATCCCAACCTTGGTTTGACCTCTGTTCTGCCACTGTATTATGTTGATGAAGTACAAGATTGTAGATGTCAGGGAATTTCTCTTGTAAACTCTCGGTCCCTAGCCATACATCCTTCCAGAAAACAGTTTTACTACCATCTGCAACTTTAATGGTGCTTCTGTTTTTCAGCAAAGGCCATAAGACCCTGATAGATCTCCATAAACTAACTGATCTCCTTTGTCATCCATCTGTCCTCTTCCTCGTACTTTGCCTTGATAGCCCTTACCCATAACATTTGCTCTTCTTGTGTGTATCTCCAAAGCCATTTTATTTTTAAAGCCTTATTCTGAAACTTCAGATCCTTGAGTCCCAGTTCCATCCCCCCCTCTTCTTACTCACTGTTAAAGCCTTCCATTTCACCAAGTAGAAACCTTTCTTCTCCTTATTTCCTTGCCACGAGAAGGATCTTCTAATGTTGTCAAGTATTTTAATAGCACTTGCTGGGATTGGAAATAAGGACATCATGTAAGAGGGGAGGGCATCTAACACAGAGTTGATGAGTATGACTGTTCCACCTAGTGACAAGTATTGAGACTTCCATCTGGAAAGTTTCTTCTCACACTTTTCAATGACACCATTCCAAATTTCCTTGGACTTTGAATTAGACCCTAAAGGCATACCAAGATATACAAATGCGAAGGACCCTACTTCTCCTTCCAATATCGAGGCCAGGAACTCCATGCCATTGACTTCGTTAATAGGATACAATGAGCTTTTCCTCCAGTTAATATGCATACCAGAGACACATTCAAATACCACCAAAATCACCCTCAAATACTTCAATTGATCCACATTTGCATCGCAAAAAGTCAGAGTGTCATCTGCATACTGCAAGTGTGTAATATCCATGCTACTATTGTCCCTCCTTTCCATTTCAAAACCGTTAATCCAGCCAATGTGCTTTGCTTTTTTCACCGTATTGTTTAAACCTTCCATTGCCAAAATGAACAAAAAGGGAGACAAGGGATCACCTTGTCTTAACCCTCTTTCAGCTTTGAAAAAACCAACAGGAGAGCCATTGATCAGAACTGAAAACTCACTGTGGAAATACAATGCCTAATCCAATTGATCCATTTGACTCCAAAGCCCATCCTCTTCAGGATATCCAATAAGAACCTCCAGTTGACATGATCATATGCTTTTTCTATATCAAGCTTGCATAGAATACCAGGTTTGTTCTGTTTGATTCTAGAATCTACAACTTCATTAGCCACCAAGACAGCATCCATAATGTCTCCCCTTGATAAAAGCCATTTGCTGGGAATCTATTAATTTTGCCATAACCTTTTTCAATCTATCAGTTAGTACCTTTGAAAACAGTTTATAGATACTGCCTATCATACTTGTAGGCTTGAAGTCTCTCAATTCCTTAGCTCCTTTCTTCTTTAGGATTAGAGCTATAAAAGTTGCATTAAAGCTCTTTTCAAATATCTCCTGTTCATGAAAATTTCTAAATGCACCGTGATGTCTTGTTTCATTATCTCCCAACAGTTGAGGATGAAATCCATTAGTGAAACCATCAGGTCCTGGAGCTGTCTCTGGCACAACATTTGAGGCAGCGCAAAACCTCCAGAAATCCATAGTGCACCTTTGTCTTGTTTAATATTATTCTTTTCATTTCTTTTTATTTTTCCCATAATTATCTTCCATACTAAAATTTTAATCAGAAGTAGATCCCATCACTTCGATCCTACTAACAGTTTCATTATTGTTTATTGTCTTTGTACTACTACCACAATTGATACAAACCTCATCTATGATATCTTTTTCTTTCTTTTTGGGATAAATACCTAAAAAAAACGTTTAAACTTGACAAGTGAGTTATGACACTGACGAGATAGACACAAAAATGTATCTTGTAAACACATGAATCCTACCTGGCTTACCAATGTCATTTCTGAGTGTGTGATTGTGCTGCCACTTCAAGAACTCCATTCTTAATATCCTAAATCATTCATTTTCTTAAATTTCTTTTCTCCTCCTTCCCCAATGTAAAACAAACAAACCGAGAGCCAAAAAATATATTTGGTCAAATTCTAAAATTTATTTGTTCCCCCTCCCCACCCCCACCCCAAAAAAAAGGATTTGACTTCTTATATAACATTTAAACAAATACAAGTAAGCTTTATTTATGATCGAAAGAACTAATTAGGCCTCAAAGCCAGATCTAAAAATGTAATGACCTTAAGTATACAAGTTAAATTAATGTAACTTAAAATAGAATACCTATTTTGTCAAGTGTATAGAAGATATAATTCGGCGTTATGAGATTTCTTTTCCAGTAAATGGTTTAACAAAAGCCATAGAGGGTACCTTGTTAATTCGTGGTGTAGAAATAGAGAAACATAATTCCTCTGGCTTTTTGATTAACCGTAACCTGCTCTCATTTTCTCTACTCCCGCTTGACCAAACACCGCCCATTTTTCTCTCCAAAAAATTTCAGATCAGTAGAACAAAAACATATATAGGATCATCGAATATATTCTTTTATTTTCAGTTTCAAGAGGGTAATACCAAGATTTCGAGGATGTTGGGATAGGACAGTAATAAATTCAAATTGCCATTTTTTCCCTCACTCACAGACACGACAAGTTTGACCTTATATTTACTTGACCACATATACTTGCCAACGCTAATGAGTTGGCTCATATTAATAATAATTATTATTATTATGAGCCAATTTATTAGCGTTGACGGGTCTAAGTGGTCAAGTAAATATATAGTCAAACTTGTCGTGTCTATGAGTGGGGAAAAATAGGCAATTTGAATATTCATCATCATTATCATTATCATTATCATTATCATTATCATTATCATTATCATTATCATTATCATTATCATTATCATTATCATTATCATTATCATTATCATTATCATTATCATTATCATTATCATTATCATTATCATTATCATTATCATTATCATTATCATTATCATTATCATTATCATTATCATTATCATTATCATTATCATTATCATTATCATTATCATTATCATTATCATTATCATTATCATTATCATTATCATTATCATTATCATTATCATTATCATTATCATTATCATTATCATTATCATTATCATTATCATTATCATTATCATTATCATTATCATTATCATTATCATTATCATTATCATTATCATTATCATTATCATTATCATTATCATTATCATTATCATTATCATTATCATTATCATTATCATTATCATTATCATTATCATTATCATTATCATTATCATTATCATTATCATTATCATTATCATTATCATTATCATTATCATTATCATTATCATTATCATTATCATTATCATTATCATTATCATTATCATTATCATTATCATTATCATTATCATTATCATTATCATTATCATTATCATTATCATTATCATTATCATTATCATTATCATTATCATTATCATTATCATTATCATTATCATTATCATTATCATTATCATTATCATTATCATTATCATTATCATTATCATTATCATTATCATTATCATTATCATTATCATTATCATTATCATTATCATTATCATTATCATTATCATTATCATTATCATTATCATTATCATTATCATTATCATTATCATTATCATTATCATTATCATTATCATTATCATTATCATTATCATTATCATTATCATTATCATTATCATTATCATTATCATTATCATTATCATTATCATTATCATTATTATTATTATTATAATCATTATTATTATCATTATTATTATTATTATTATTATTATTATTATTATTATTATTATTATTATTATTATTATTATTATTATTATTATTATTATTATTATTATTATTATTATTATTATTATTATTATTATTATTATTATTATTATTATTATTATTATTATTATTATTATTATTATTATTATTATTATTATTATTATTATTATTATTATTATTATTATTATTATTATTATTATTGTTATTATTATTAAATTTCCAAATGGTATTTGGTACCTTGTTGGAGTGGTGGACCTAGAATTTACATAAATTCCTAACAGTACTTACTGTGAATTAGAAATCCTCTTGTACGGTATTTTTAATACATTTCAACGAAGAGTTGTGTGTGTCTAGGGCCTTTTTGTATTGGTTTTTATGTGTTTTTATCATATTTTGCAGGAAAGATGTTCGAGTGCTGGCTCCCTATTCAGTGCTATGCATGCTTCCTTGGTAACTTCTAGTTTGATCAGGGAAAGCACAGAAAATGAATCTGCTAATGAAGGTTACAGGGAAGGTGGTCGTAGATCAGCAGGCAAGGCATGGAAGGCAAATCAGGGAAATCTGACCAAGTGTGGAACCACGGTGTCCATTGACGATCCGTAGATGGATCTACGGACCGTACTGTTGATCCGTAGATTGATACTGCGAGGGTTCCAGTACCTGATTTTTGAAGATTCCAAGTGTGGAGATACGGAGGGGGATTGTCCGTCCAGCAGTTCCGTCGTTTGCTTCAGAGAAGCTGAGTTTTGGAAGCTGAAATATTCTCCAAGTCCTGGCTGTCGAAAGGGACTCACGGACCGTAGATCCATTGACAGTCCCTGAGTCATTCTTGTGGAATGAAGACGCGTGCCTGTAACAAACTTTCCTTATTTTGTTTC